GAACTGGACGGCTGAGGCTATTGAGATTCTTCTTATGTCTACAAATGGGTAGACACCTTTCGCTGCCTTATGTTGAATATGTTAAGGTAAGACATTTGTCATAAATTTGGGACCAAACAAAGTCCTGCCCACCTTATTTTTTCTTTTAACGAAGACCAATAATGTGCACACAAAACACTCACAAATAGAAGGGAAAGGAAAAGTAACTATTCGCTCACACATTCTCCTGGTTATGAAGGAATTTAAGTGTCGTACCTGTTTAATCCTTGGCTAGGGAGGGTGCTGAAAAACATTTCATTGGCATAATCATTTGGTTACAGGATTAAATATTTTCAAACGAATAAAGCTACCTGAGCTGAAGTTATAGGCCTTAAATTTCGGGCCAACAGAAATTTATGCTTGATAGTCTATGTTTTTGTTTTACGAATACGATATTTTTGGGCATTTCCAATAAACTTCTTTTGGCATTTTTCAATTCCAGGAATAAATGTTTTCATTTTGGAAACATTAGATTGTCATATCATTAGGTTGGGGATGATTGATGAATTACGTATTTTCCTGTTCAAAACACCGGACTAATAAACTGCCGCAACAAACTGATTTCCGCTAAAGAACTCAAATTTAGGAGGTCTTGGTTAGAAATTAGATCATAACTGCAATGAGTTGGTGATGCAGGTCAAGTCTGTCAAGATTAAACCTGGAAAGCGCACACACAATGGCTGTGGCATTGATGGTGAACTTTTCCCTGTGAATGGGCAACTGATGTGTTCATTACTTCCAGAACAGTGTAGGCTTATTGGTCGACCACCCGGTTCTAACAAGTGACTGCTGCGGCGTTATATTGAAGGTTGGGCGTGTGGATATGTGCTCGGCTATCCTTTTGAGCGGCAATATGAGGAGTCAAGACGAGAAGGCAATAGTGTATCTAGAGAATTCATTCCCCACGCCCGGTAATCCTTCCTGCTATTGCCTTTTCTGTTTTACGAACTATTAGGTCCTTGTAAATTTTGTTGTTGCTTCATTCTTTTTAAATTATTGTCCGCGACATCTACTGCTATTATGTTGATGCTGTTTTGTATGGTATGTGACCGAAAAGCAAGAAAATATTGGTTTTTAGCCAACTTTGCGAGAAATTAACGAGTTTCACGTTTAATTAACATATTTATTGCTATGATTAATGATCATCAGTGTGAAATAATTAACGTTCTACGTTAAATGGCTTTAAAGTTTGGTTGGGTGAATTCAAATAATGATCTTCATGAAAAAGTTTCATGGGAACGAAAAAATGTCTCTTTTATATATGATGATGATAGCAGTATTTCGTATCATAATTTGGTACGACATCTAAAACTACACTCAAACTCGTGCACACATTCGAGCTCGTTCGTGCTTGAGTTTGGCCATCTTGTCGCGTATTTAATTAAATCTTGTCACGCATATTTAATTAAATCTTGATTTCCTCGTCTCACGAGTATGAAATTGATGCGGTTTACTTCTCGAGCTTATGACATGAATTGCTATTAAGTTGATTTATTTTTGTGTTGAATGAGTTTTTGTATAGTAAATTTTTGGAGAATGTGTGATTAAAAAGTTGGAAAANGATCTGTTATTGGTTCACGGAACTGGACGGCTGAGGCTATTGAGATTCTTCTTATGTCTACAAATGGGTAGACACCTTTCGCTGCCTTATGTTGAATATGTTAAGGTAAGACATTTGTCATAAATTTGGGACCAAACAAAGTCCTGCCCACCTTATTTTTTCTTTTAACGAAGACCAATAATGTGCACACAAAACACTCACAAATAGAAGGGAAAGGAAAAGTAACTATTCGCTCACACATTCTCCTGGTTATGAAGGAATTTAAGTGTCGTACCTGTTTAATCCTTGGCTAGGGAGGGTGCTGAAAAACATTTCATTGGCATAGTCATTTGGTTACAGGATTAAATATTTTCAAACGAATAAAGCTACCTGAGCTGAAGTTATAGGCCTTAAATTTCGGGCCAACAGAAATTTATGCTTGATAGTCTATGTTTTTGTTTTACGAATACGATATTTTTGGGCATTTCCAATAAACCTCTTTTGGCATTTTTCAATTCCAGGAATAAATGTTTTCATTTTGGAAACATTAGATTGTCATATCATTAGGTTGGGGATGATTGATGAATTACGTATTTACCTGTTCAAAACACCGGACTAATAAACTGCCGCAACAAACTGATTTCCGCTAAAGAACTCAAATTTAGGAGTTCTTGGTTAGAAATTAGATCATAACTGCAATGAGTTGGTGATGCAGGTCAAGTCTGTCAAGATTAAACCTGGAAAGCGCACACACAATGGCTGTGGCATTGATGGTGAACTTTTCCCTGTGAATGGGCAACTGACGTGTTCATTACTTCCAGAACAGTGTAGGCTTATTGGTCGACCACCCGGTTCTAACAAGTGACTGCTGCAGCGTTATATTGAAGGTTGGGCGGGTGGATATGTGCTCGGCTATCCTTTTGAGCGGCAATATGAGGAGTCAAGACGAGAAGGCAATAGTGTATCTAGAGAATTCATTCCCCACGCCCGGTAATCCGTCCTGCTATTGCCTTTTCTGTTTTACGAACTATTAGGTCCTTGTAAATTTTGTTGTTGCTTCATTCTTTTTAAATTATTGTCCGCGACATCTACTGCTATTATGTTGATGCTGTTTTGTATGGTATGTGACCGAAAAGCAAGAAAATATTGGTTTTTAGCCAACTTTGCGAGAAATTAACGAGTTTCACGTTTAATTAACATATTTATTGCTATGATTAATGATCATCAGTGTGAAATAATTAACGTTCTACGTTAAATGGCTTTAAAGTTTGGTTGGGTGAATTCAAATAATGATCTTCATGAAAAAGTTTCATGGGAACGAAAAAATGTCTCGTTTATATATGATAGCAGTATTTCGCATCATAATTTGGTACGACATCTAAAACTACACTCAAACTCGTTCACACATTCGAGCTCGTTCGTGCTTGAGTTTGGCCATCTTGTCGCGTATTTAATTAAATCTTGTCACGCATATTTAATTAAATCTTGATTTCCTCATCTCACGAGTATGAAATTGATGCGGTTTACTTCTCGAGCTTATGACATGAATTGCTATTAAGTTGATTTATTTTTGTGTTGAATGAGTTTTTGTATAGTAAATTTTTGAAGAATGTGTGATTAAAAAGTCGGAAAATTTTCAGCTTATTTGGCTTTAAGTTGTGTTTATGGATATTGATCCACACAAATGAGATCCCAACTTATAATAAAAAAGGTTTTTCAATCAAACTTGCTATAAATAATGTTTGATCGACTTACAAGCCCTTAATTGTTGATAAAAAAAGAAAAAGATGATGTGTATGAATCACTCGCATATTTTTTTGAATTATATGTATCGTGGATTAGTTTGGAAGGGATATGTAAGAACAAACCATTTTTATTGGAAACATTCCTCCAATGATTTCCCTAAGAACTTCTATAGTAAATGGAATATATAGAATTGAAATCAATCAAATATTGCAAAGCCCCAGTATNTTTGAGTTTTGCTTGGGGTACATAGGAGATAACATAGGGGTTGACATAATACTCACATGGGGTGGGACCCGCTTTTAAAATGGGTCCCACCCCATGTGAGTATTATGTGGACCATTATGTAGAAAAATTATGTACAAGTAGCATTTTTGTAAAAAAAATACCCGAGAAAAATCCCACCATGGAAATTGAAATGATAATAAATCCAATATAAGTTAGTGAGATTTACATGAGCATGTAAGTTGAACTAGTCATTTGTACTGTTGTACATCTGCCTAGGTTGACTAAACGTATAATTTTAATTGGAGGAAAATACAAAAAATTCTCATATTTGACCATCAAAATTCTCGAAGAAGAGGCTACCAAAATCTTTTGAAATTACAAAGATCGACATGGCTTTTTGGAATTAAGATTGGAGATCGAATTTAGCATAAATAAAATACCATTTATCAAGTAGGGATGATAATATTTAATTTCGAGTAAATTACAAGTTTGTGAGCTCTGTGTAATATAAAAAGCAGATAAGAAATTCTTTTTTATTTTTAATGTTAAAAATTGAAGCAATCATTTATTGAGCTTGAGTAAAAAAAAAAAACATTTGGTATGGTCGACATTATGTCTAAATTCAACTTAAATTTTTCATATTTGATGTCTTATGTTTGAATTTGAGGGACGCGATAGAAAACCATGAAAGGATAAGAAAAAAGATTATCTTCCAAAGCGGACAATATATAAGAGAACAATCGAGCATGAGATTCGAATTGTATAAAAAAATTAAGAGAAAATAACTTTTAACAATTTCATCGTATTTCACCCAATACAAAACCATCAAGATGATGTGCTAATGACTCTGTTGTCATTAACTCAGACCTACCCATCGACAAGATAAATTTTGAAAAGTTTGCTAGAACGGAGAGCATTTGTGTTTTTAGGTACAATAAGTTCTTACAAAATTTATTCAATTAAAAATTTAAATGAGTTTGAATTTTGAAATTGAGAATCGCGTAGGATTTGATTTGACTAAAAAAGTTGATTAAAATGTAAGCAAGAATTAATAAATAATTTTAAATACAAATATTCACAATTTTTTATTAATTTTTGACGTCATCAATTTTCATCTGTATTTTTTCTTGATTTCTATAATTAAACTTATCTTCACGTATACTAATAATAAATTAATAATAATGGCATAATTGAAGAAATGGGCCCCACCAACAAAAAAAAAAAAATGAAAGAAGGTGGAAAAACATAAAACTCTCGGAAAAAACAACATAACCCCTTAATCAAACTTTCACATTTCTCTCATCTCACCTTCCCACCCCCTTCTCTCTCTAAAACCAACCTCCTACCCTGTTCAATCTTCACGGATCTACGCATCAAAATTCAATCCAATTTCATTGATGATATTTTGATCAAGACTGAGTGTGGGGAAGTAAGAAAAAAGAGAATTGATATGAGGGTGCCCAGTTGTTCGGTGTGCCAGAATAAATACAACGAGGATGAGCGGTGCCCTCTTCTACTCCAATGCGGTCATGGGTTCTGTCGCGAGTGTCTATCTAAGATGTTTTCTGCATCCACCGATTGCTCACTTTCTTGCCCCCGCTGCCGTTTCGTGTCCACCGTTGGGAATTCCGTGACTGCTTTGAAAAAGAATTACGCCATTTTGTCCTTGATCCAGAGTTCCCTTTCTGTAGATGATGACGACGACGAGGATGAGGACGATGATGATGGCGATGGCCATGTGGGTCGGGAAGAAAAGACTTCTTTAACTACTAGCAATAATTGTTATCGAAATAATTCTTATGGTAGTGGTGGTTGTAATAATGGAAGTAGACGAATAGAGGATGATTATAAGAGAAGGCGGGGACGTGAGGTCCAAGTGGAGGGAGGTGGGGGATTAGATTTGCGGGTGCATAAGGAGGTGAATTTGGTTAGGAGAATTGGGGATGGGAGTAGTTGGAAGGCAGGAGCGGAGATGTGGGCGGCAGTGGTGTCGGGGAGGGGGTGTAAGCACAAATTGGCAGTGAAGAAGGTGCCAATCAAGGAGGAGACGGATGTGATGTGGCTGCAAGAGCAGCTGGAGGAGCTGAGGAGGAAGTCCATGTGGTGCCGGAGTGTGTGTGCTTTTCATGGAGCTATGAGGATGGACAACAGCCTTTGCTTAGTAATGGATAGGTGTTATGGGTCCGTCCAGACTGCAATGCAGCAGAATGAAGGGCGCCTCACACTTGAACAGATCCTGAGGTTTTGTTTTTCTTTCGTTGTACCTTTTAACACATAAATGCATTCATGTTAAATTGGATCAATTTGCATTTTGATTGGCTTGGTATGAATGCTTGTTTTCTCTGCAGTTGCTAGATTGGTGATAGAATCTGTCTCTTTTACTTTTTAGTTTGTTTTTGTCATAATTCGAGATAGATGAAAATGTAACTTGAATGAATTAGGGTCCAATGTTTGTTCATTTGAAGTATTTATCTCATCCTTGGTGTTATCCTTGTTATTTGTTAGCACTTGGAGTTTGGACATAGAATTTCATGGGAGATAATCGGTGGCGACGGATTGGGCAAGTGAAGTGATAATATAAACTACAATTTTAAGTTATAAAAAAAATTAACGATATCTTCTGTGTTGATTAAACTACTATAACACAACATTACTATATCATATCAAACAACATTTTGTATTTTCTACATAAATCCCAACATAAATTAAATGTTTTTAGTAATTGAAATTTTGTCCGGTCTTGGTTTTTTCATGAGAAATTTCTCCATATCTAAAGCAAAAAATAATTCAATCGAGTTAAAGGAATGAAAAGTTAATAACAAAAATATTTAAAAGCAGTAAATAAAATTTAACATGAAATTGTAACAATAGATATTAATATATTATTAAATTATGAACAAGACAAATACCTTTGGGTTATACTTCCCAAAAATTGAACAATAACGTGACCACATGTATGTCATTTTTAATTTCATTAAGTGGGTGGCTGCGTGACTTTAGCCGAGGACCTCTATTTGCTGTGATGCCATATTGAAAATTTGAAACCACTTGGTCTAAAAGGTTAAACTGCTGGATAAGGCCATATGTACATCATATAAGTATTGCCTTCAACATCTGAATTTCCAAATATTCAAATGAAAGCTTACCCTATTAATTACTGTAATAAACTGTGCTAGTTTTTCATTATAATCTAAGTCTTAAACTGCCTAATTCTTGGAGAGTTTTCTATCATGGTATTCCAATACAAACTTGTCTAATTTCTGTTTTCTCGTTTTGTGAATCTAGAACTCGAATACGTATAACAAAAACCCATTAAATAAAAAAAAAAAAAAGAAAAAAAATCACTCTTTTAAACGCAAAAGGATAAGAGAAAAAAGTTAGATAAAGTTACTGATGGTAAGATTGACGTTGAAAACAGCAAGAATATTGGAGAACTAAGGATTCGTTGATGGGACAACGAAAATGCTTCACATTGTGAAAAAGTAAATGAAGTCGGTGGGCAATTGTAGAAGTGAAAAGTTTTTAAGCCAATTACCATGTTAATTTAAAGTCTGTAGCATTTTTACATACAAGAGTTTAACATTGGGGACAAAATTATAAAATCCAAAAATATTTAATTAATATAATAAATATTTTAAAAAATCGGCATGGGGACAGCTAAATCCGCCCATGGGAGATATTGTGTTCAGCATCTTGACCATAAGTTTTTGGAATGGCAATGTATGGTAGAAATTTTAAATCTCTTTATCTTTTTTCTACACTCCAATTACGTGGCCTTAATTCTGGTGCTAAGCAGCGGTCAGCCTTGCTAAATATTTTGTTGGACTCCATCCACAAGACTCAATCCTTAATTGCCAAGCAATAAACTTTAGAACTTTAGAGGGATGTTAATAGGCTGTCCATTTTCTATTGGTGTGGATATTTGTTTGTCTTTTATACAGGGGGACAATTTTCAAGCGGCATATGTTGTTGAGTTAACTGGTAATTATGGCCTACATTTTTTTTGCTGGATAACGGAATATGTGAATCCATTTGTAAATTATGCTTCTGTCATCTCAAGTTGACTGCTCTAGCTTGACTTTGTTCAAGTTTTAGGAATGTCAAGTTTGTGCATGTTTTCCCCTTTTTAGGAAATAGTAGGCACAATTTTAATTATAAGATTATTTTAGCAATGGTAGTTGGAGAGAAAATGGGGAATGCGTTTACTTATAGAAAGTAGATAATATTTTGCGTCATTCAAAAAAGGAAGGAGGACTTTAATTTGAGGTGGCAGGAAAATATATGATGCAGATTGCATTCCTACCGTGCGATAGATCTATGTTTTTATCATCCTTACGGATAACTATCGATAAGGATTTCAAGGTGTTCCTTTTTCTTTAATTATTCTCAGATGGAAAAATTTATTATTTTCTTGTCTTTACCTTGTTTTCTATGATGTTTAGAGGATTCTCAGCCCTCTTAACCGATGTAGTTATGTTTCTATAATTAATGAAATTATGTTCCTTATCCAAAAATTTAGGCATTAGATGTCATTTCATTTTCTTGAAACAAATTATTAGCCGTTAAGTCAGGAAAAAAGTTGATATCATTTTATTTTATCTTAATAATTATTAATCGTTAAGTTAAGGAAAGGTTTCAATTTGTTATTATAATAAGTTTCCCATTCGCCATAGGGTTGTTATGTATATAGGACCACTATTGTCAAAAGACATTGATTATGATATTTAGTTTAAAGATTTGTTTCACTATATTTTGAATATTAGAAAATTTTGATTATTTTTTCCTAGCTAGAGTATAACATTTTGTGAATTTTCCTTGTCATAATGTATCGTCTAAAATTTTGAATGTAGATATGGGGCGGACATTGCCCGTGGAGTCGCCGAGCTCCATGCAGCTGGTGTTGTTTGTATGAATATTAAACCATCCAATCTTCTCTTGGATGCAAATGGTCATGCTATGGTTTCTGATTATGGGCTTCCAGCAATTCTAAAGAAGCTTGATTGTCGAAAAGCTCAAACAGAGTGTGAATCCTCCAAAGTTCATTCATGTATGGATTGCACAATGCTTAGCCCAAATTACACTGCCCCAGAGGCATGGGAACCAGTTAAAAAGTCGCTGAATCTTTTCTGGGATGATGCTATTGGCATATCGCCGGAGTCAGATGCCTGGAGCTTTGGTTGTACATTAGTAGAAATGTGCACTGGTTCTACTCCGTATGTGAATTTATTAACTGTCCCTTATAACTTTGTTGTTTCTGTAAGTAGCATAATTGCTCAAAAAGGTGTCTATATCTTTTACGCAGCTGGGCTGGTTTAAGTGCTGAGGAAATCTATCGGTCTGTAGTCAAAGTTCGACGACAACCTCCTCAATATGCAAGTGTAGTGGGTGTGGGAATACCTAGGGAATTGTGGAAGATGATTGGTGACTGCCTCCAGTTCAAGGCATCTAAAAGACCAACTTTTAATTCAATGTTAGCAGTGTTTCTTCGCCACTTGCAAGAGATTCCTCGAAGCCCTCCTGCAAGCCCTGATGTGTAAGATGCTATTTTATGTATTGTCAGTTTGTTACCTTATGAGTACACTTATTAGAGTTCAAAAGCTCATGTTTCATAAGTGGCTTGTCGCCCTTGTTTATGTTGCTGATGCGAGAATTAGTAATCTTAGATGTCTTGGAAGTGCCTTATTACTTGCCATGTATATTTTTGATGCTGGTTTTTACAAGTCGTCCTTGTATTTAATACTTTACTGTTACTTGATTGATGACTTGGGTATTCTCTATTTGCCCCATCTAATAAGCAGTGATTTGCCTACAAACCCTGGAATAAATGGGACAGCTCTTTCTCCATCGGCTGCTGATCTAGAGGTTCCCCAAGCCAATCCCAATCTTTTACTCCGACTTGTCTCTGAAGGCAATCTGGATGGAGTTAGGTTAGGCTGCTTTACCATAGACCTTTGTCATATCTTCTGGATATGGAATCTTTTAATTTGAGATTTATTTCCCATTTCCCCTGTTTTATGCAGAGATTTTCTTGCAAAGACTGCTTCAGGTCACAACGGCAATTTGCTACTTTCTCTGCTGGAAGCACAGAATGCAGAAGGTCAAACGGCTCTCCACCTTGCTTGTAGGAGGGGTAGCGTTGAACTCGTTGAAGCGATTTTGGAGTACAAAGAGGCAAATGTTGATGTCCTCGATAAAGATGGCGATCCTCCTCTTGTTTTTGCTCTGGCGGCTGGATCGCCTGAATGTGTCCGAGCTCTCATCGGTAGAGATGCTAATGTCAGATCAAGGTTAAGGGAAGGCCTTGGTCCATCCGTTGCTCATGTCTGTGCCTACCATGGCCAACCAGATTGCATGCGTGTAGGTGTCTTGGATTTCTACAAGTTTATAGGTTATGGAAACGTATCAAAAAATAAGGAAATGTAAAGCAAGATGCCTGATTTAAGTTCAAAACTCCATCGTCTGGGACATGGAAAGTGCATGGCATGATGAATGTCTTATGTTTATTTCTAACCAACTTTTATATTTTCTTAATCATAATATATATGTTTATGTTTTTATTATTTATTTCTGCATGGATAGGAGTTATTGTTGGCTGGTGCTGATCCAAATGCAGTTGACGACGATGGTGAATCTGTGCTTCACAGAGCTATTGCCAAGAAATATACTGACTGTGCTATTGTCATATTGGAAAACGGAGGCTGTAAATCAATGGGCATTGTGAACTCCAGGGATTTGACGTATGTGTAAATTTTATCCTTCAATTATTAGCAGAGACAATTTTCTGAATCCGGATGCTTTATTGAAGGAAAGAAATGAAACTAGTGAAGCACACAAAAAGAAAAACAGAGACACTGTTTCCCTTTTCACTGCTTTGTTTGTTTAGTTAACTGTGGAAGAGAAGAAAGAATGATTTTTTTATTTAATTGTATCACCTAAAAAATATTAGATGACATGTGTAGCCTTTCAACTTATCTTAGGCTGTGAAAGCCTGGAGGGAATATCTAAATTAACTGCTTGCCAGATTATAAGACAGCTCCCTCCTTTCCAACTTGAATGTATGGTTTACATCTGTGGTCAGCTGTTTTTTTTTTCTGAAGAGTCGATATTTGAGCCACTTCGAGTTACATATCATATTAAAATTTAGTGGAAATACTACCCATTAGAAAAATCTTTGTAATGTAGTTTGAAAAACAATCAGTTTGATAGTTGAAAATCAAAAGGACATTTGTTTCACATGCTTTTATGGAGTTGATTCTGAAAGAGTTTCTTTTGATCACATTAAAAGGTGATCTGTGGACATCAACATAATTACCGAAGCTAATTTGCAAATGTTATTCCCTAGATTGAAGCCTTATGTCTGCATACTAAATAGGCCACTATTCTTGCTGTTTTTTCTTTAAAGTCTTCTGATATCTTCACCCTTTCTCTTCTGTTGTTTTACAAAATTCAGCTCAATTCTAGGCTCATTATCACTGTATGACTTTTAATGGTGCATTATATCTTTAAAACTCTTTTCAGTTTTTCTCATTGTTAAAGGTAGCTTTATGGTGCTGAACTTATTTCTATGATCACGGAAAGGTACTAAGAGCTTTAGTCTCTTGGCTATACATTCTGGAAAATGCCATAGACTATCTATAGAGATTTCTTAGAGGCTAAGAAGCCATGAGGGATGGAAGGCTTTCAGATAGGGATGGAAGGCTTTCAGAAGTTAAGCTTTAAGAAAACCAAGAATGCATCAAGTGGATCTTTTCTAGGATTGATATATGTCGGTGGCAGAATGTAAAGAGGACGAGAGGACAATGATTACTTTGTTAATAAAGAGAAACAAAGGATAATCTAAGAAAGTGAGAAACCATTAATTTCCTTAGCTGCAGGTGCAGCAGCAGATAAATAAGCTAAGAGTTAAGCCTTTCTTGTGCTTGACATGCTCCGTGCTGTTCTCTTCAAAATTCTGCTGTCTTTTCATCTAAAAGACCCAAAGAATTATCGAAACTAGAGACTTTCAGATCATATCTAACCTTCTTGTTCCCACAACCTATAGGTTTTTGTAAGAAAAAATCATTATATCTTTCTGGAGAAGTTCAACGAAAATCTACATCTATTATCAATTTGGTCCACAATATCTTGCAGTATGACAGTGCATCAACACTTAATGCTTTCCATGTTCCTCTGGTACATCACCACGAAGAAGGGGCAGAGAGGAGTATGAGTTTTTTCTTCTGCATTGAGTTACAAATGATTTCCTATGTAAAGCATCCACATGAATACCTTAACTCTTTAGGGGACAATAGATTTCCAAGTTAAAAGGCTCAAAGATAGGAAAACTTTGGTAGACAAGCCCATTAACATGATTTGTGAGAAAAGATATAATAGGGATTCATAGGGCACATCACTTATTTGAACAAAAAAAGACGACGACGACAGCCACATTCAGTGATGTGGTTGCCATGTAGATACATGTTAATTGGAAGTTCCTTTTGTATATGCTCCGTCGATGTGGATTTGGGGAAAAGTGGTGTAAGTGGATTCAATTCTGTATCTCAACTGTTTCTTTCTCGGTAATGGTTAACGACACTCCGGAGGGCTATTTTCGAAGCAGCAGAGGATTGAGGCAAGGGGACCCCCTGTCTCCATTGTTGTTTGTTATTGTTATGGAGGCGTTCAGTAGGATGCTAGAGAAAGCTGTGGAGGAAGGTTTGATAAGGGGTTTTACGGTTGGACATGCACAGATCTCGCATTTGCTATTTGCAGATGATACACTGATTTTATGTGATGCTAATGATGAGCAATTGAGGAATTTACGTCGGCTACTTCTATGCTTTGAAGCGGTG